CCCCAAAACCCCAAAACCCCAAAACCCCAAAACCCCACGCCCACGAGACGGTATTGAAACTGAGAAAATAATATGGATTCCTTAATCCTTCTTTTTAAATGAAACCATATAATATGAAACACTCAGGAATGCATTTAAGGAGTTGATAGAAGAACTAGAAGCTCGGTTGTTTGGTATTCCTGACCGAAAAAATACTGAAACATTAACATATCACCTTGATCGATACATATTTTTAGCAAATTAAGGAGAGAGTGCACTGTTGTTTCTTTAGTTAGTTCCTTATAAAGATTTCCCTGCTGGTTTTGTTAGTCTTGACGACAGATTTAAGGCCAAGCAAACTTATTTTAAATTTGGGGTTTACAAATTCGATTCTGAAGTAAGAGGAAACGTTGCGTTTTATTGTGAAATATTTAGTATGTAAGCTAACTCCAAGGATAGCATCAGGAGAAGTTAGTCAGAGATATGCTATATATTAGGTTTGTAATCTTATCATAAAGCAAATAAACACCAAAGCTTAAAGCGAGTTTATTACATTTTAGAAAAATACCATAAAAAATTTAACTATTTCCATAAAGTTACTAAATTTGAAACCTTCAAAAACATACCTTGTAAAATGCCTGTGAATTTCTAACCTAATGAACCACCAACTGGAGTACCTACCCTCTCAACACTTAAAAATCTCTCGGCACATCTCTTGATATAGAAATCTGGAGGTTTTTACTCTTTGACAAACTGATTTTAATGACAAATTTTTAATAAAACCAATAAAAAGAGTTATTTAATTTTTACGACCATGAATATATTAGAGTAATAATACAGCTGATCAAGTCCTGATGATCTGAACTGGCGTCTCCTAGAAATTGATGTTCATCTCTCTTGATATTTGAAGTTCATCGGAAGACCTATTGTTAAGATGAATAGATACTTACTTTTCCTTACTTGATCTTAACTCCTCTAACTTCTGATTCAGCATGTAAGAAGACTGACAGAGCCCTGGGCTTGATTTCAGGCTTGTTATTTTGGAATGAAAGGATTCAAATTTGCTCCTCATATATCCAAGAACATTACTCATATTATGTTCGAGTGGAATTAATTTATCAGAAGCCCAGTTGTTGTAAGCCACTATCTTCTTTTTCTTGATTCATTTCTTCGCTTTTCTCTTAGTTTCAGTAGAGTGGCTTAGAGCTAGATGCACAGCTTTTCTCAAATTAGGAGACAATGACTTGATCCTAGTCTTAAGTGCAGTAAAAGGAGTTTGCCTCATCTTGCGCGTTAACTTAAAATTCCCTGATTTCTTCTTATGTTCAAAAGCTGCTAGATTCAAATTATGAATTCTCGGGGATACTGGATTTCTCGTTCCAAAATGTCAAGCTTCTTGTTCTTTCGCTCCATGCATTCTTAGCTTTATCTTATTAAACTTCTTCTTGCATTTAAATGAGACTGGAGAAGGGCTCAGTGTTGTTACTCTCCCACTAAAGTTTGTCATAAATTCATATTCTGGCAGAACAAAATTTCATAATTTTACCAAATTGCTTACTTTTCAAGTCGATTATTATTGATTGGATTTTTGTTCCAAAATTGTGTCGATGTCTGGTTTAAGTCAAGAGAACTCTCTTTGATAGGTCTCTTAGACCTTCGATGGCTCTATAGATTTGTTAAGCATCCATTAAATTGCCTTCATGAATTTCACTAATTTTTAGAGATAGAAGTTTTAAGTAAAAAGAAAAGCGGCTTAGGCTAGATATTTAGGGTAGGATAAACTTAAGAAGCAATTACTCCTGTTGTTATCATTTCTAGAGCAATTTTATTAAATTTTCACCTCTTTTAGAGTTGTAAGTTGGCTTTATGTATTAAACCATTTTGTTACTCACATCAAAATTTATCTAGCAATCACAAATGTTGAAAACTTCAGGGTAAATAAATTTAGATTCTTTTCACTATACACAGAAGAAGTCTCCCTACACTATACTAGAGAAAGATCAATGCATCATTGTAAAAGTATGATGGCTTACTCTTCGAGCTTTGTTCTCTTTAAAATCACTGATTCAGACTTCTCTCGGGTCCATATTTCTTGGTGAAACTAACTTATTTTGCATTATTAATTATTGATGTTTATATCAATGACTCTTAAGAAGCCAGGGGTTTTGGGGTTTTGGGGTTTTGGGG